CACACATACATACATACATACACACACACTATGTAGACTCCAGCAAGATAACACAACACACACACACACATAATACACACACTCACACTCAGGGGACATGAGGACATGAGCTGCTTTTGTTTCTGCAGCTGTTTCTCTGCAGGACTTTGCTCCACATCATATTTACTCGAGGCCTGCTGCTTCAGACAAACCAACAACAAACTTCCATCTGCCTCTCCTCCCCCCTCTTTCTGGTTTGTCTCTTTTCTGTCTCTGGTCTGTCTCTGGTCTGTCTCTGGTCTGTCTCTGGTCTGTCTCTGGTCTCTCTCTGGTCTGTCTCTGGTCTGTCTCTGGTCTGTCTCTGGTCTCTCTCTGGTCTGTCTCTGGTCTCTCTCTGGTCTCTCTCTGGTCTGTCTCTGGTCTGTCTCTGGTCTGTCTCTGGTCTGTCTCTGGTCTCTCTCTGGTCTCTCTCTCTGGTCTCTCTCTCTGGTCTCTCTCTCTGGTCTCTCTCTCTCTGGTCTGTCTCTGGTCTGTCTCTGGTCTCTCTCTCTGGTCTCTCTCTCTGGTCTCTCTCTCTGGTCTCTCTCTCTCTGGTCTGTCTCTGGTCTGTCTCTGGTCTGTCTCTGGTCTGTCTCTGGTCTGTCTCTGGTCTGTCTCTGGTCTCTCTCTCTGGTCTCTCTCTCTCTGGTCTGTCTCTGGTCTGTCTCTGGTCTGTCTCTGGTCTGTCTCTGGTCTGTCTCTGGTCTGTCTCTGGTCTGTCTCTGGTCTGTCTCTGGTCTGTCTCTGGTCTCTCTCTGGTCTCTCTCTGGTCTGTCTCTGGTTTTAAGAAGTGACTTAACACTAGGACCGCCGCGCTCTAAACATACCTTGCACCGCCCCCTGCGGTCAGTTGACCGCTATGTATTTTGCGCTGATACAGCCTTTTGCCAAATTGATTGTTCACTAAACCAGAACTTGCTTGACCGGAAAAAGGTGCCTTGCCCTCTCCAGGTGGGTGGAGAGGTCCTTCCTCAAGTGGAGGAGTTCAAGTATCTCGGGGTCTTGTTCACGAGTGAGGGAAGGATGGAGCGTGAGATTGACAGGCGGATCGGTGCAGCGTGCGCAGTGATGCGGTCTCTGTATCGGACCGTTGTGGTAAAGAGGGAGCAGCGTCTGCAGTCAGAGCTATATCAGACCGTTGTGGTAAAGAGGGAGCTGAGCCGAAAGGCAAAGCTCTCAATTTACCGGTCAATCTTCGTTCCCTCCCTCACCTATGGTCATGAGCTGTGGGTAATGACCGAAAGAACGAGATCGCGGATACAAGCGGTCGAAATGAGCTTCCTCCGCAGAGTGGCTGGGCGCTCCCTTAGAGATAGGGTGAGGAGCTCGGTCACACGGGAGGAGCTCGGAGTAGAGCCGCTGCTTCTCCACGTCGAGAGGAACCAGTTGAGGTGGCTCGGGCATCTGTTCAGGATGCCTCCTGGACGCCTTCCTGGGGAGGTGTTCCGGGCACGTCCCACCGGAGGAGGCCCCGGGGAAGACCCAGGACACGCTGGAGAGACTATGTCTCTCAGCTGGCCTGGGAACGCCTAGGGGTCCCCCCGGACGAGCTTGAGGAGGTGTGTGTGGATAGGGAAGTCTGGGCGTCTCTGCTTAGACTGCTGCCCCCGCGACCCGGCAACGGATAAAGCGGAAGAAAATGGATGGATGGACTAAACCAGAACTTGATGTTGCAAAGGAATCGTGATCATAATGAAACTGTGTAAATTATTTGTCTAAATATGCTAAGTAATTGTAATTCTAGCCAAAATAAAAGGCTAAGACGACACATTGTGCGTGTACTGATCCATCAAGATTACGATGACTTTTCAGGCTAGATTTATTTTGTAACTTTGCAAACACCTAAAAGGTCGGTCACTATATGTTATATTTGACTCAGTAACAATATGTAAATTCAAACAATATAAATGATAGTTTAGAAAAGCACGGGACCATAACGTCTTCGCGCTGCTATATGCGTCTACTTCTTACGTCATCTCCAGACTGTTTTCTCTTTAGAGGCCGAAATCACCGTGGGAAACATTATCTAGATAATAATAATATTATTCGTATTGACACAAGATCATCAGCTAGGCTACCATCGTCAATGTAAAATCTTCAATTTTACACGGGACACGTTAGAAAGACAAATATATGTATATATATATTTGTATTTATTTGAGACAAGCAGTGCTCTTTATGCTCAGAACAAAATTATAATCATTGCCTTGCAGTGCGCGCTGTGCAGAATAACACACAGTGTTATCTGGATGAAATAAGAATTATATCCTTATTGATATATGAGGGCCGCTTCTGCCTCACAGTCGCTCTCCTCCTGCAGTGTCCGCGGGTGACGAGCACTCTGATCTGCACTCTGCCTTGATAGTTCATCGAATTGTTCTATTTTATTACGATATTGTATTCTGCTTTATTGCCTTCTTGTATGTATAAATATAATAATGTAATTGATGATGAATGAAAAGGCAGAATGGAGCGACAGCGCGCACACAGACACCTGCGTATGGCTGGCATTACGCACGCTCATGTGCGTTATTGCTTCTGGACTTGTTACAACACTGCTGTCCGTGCCGTGAATGCACTTTGGGTTTACGTTCAGATTTAGAATATTATAGGTGTTCTCCCCGCTGTCACTTTCTACCTCAAAATGTGACATCTCTCACCTCCGTCAGACTGTTCTCATTCAATGTCTTGAAGCACTGTCAGGGCTTCATACCGTGTACTTGCAGCTCTATTCATTTTGTACTCCTCTCTCTCTCCCAAATAATAATAAAAAAGTCCCTTTAGAGTCTAATGACAACATATTGATACATTTTCATAAGGCGCGAAAAACCCCCGGGAAAGGTTACTATGACAACAGGCGCCCCTGCGCCATGTATCTCATGGGGAAGCAGAAAGGGCTGTGGTTTAGAAAAGTTAAAATGCGTGTAAATCTTGTTTTCTTTACTTTTTCCAAAACCAAAACACACCAAAATATAAACAACAAGTACCTAGAAAAAGTCATAAAATTTCAACTTCTGGCGTTTTGTTTTGAATACACTAATTAGCATAATAAAGTGAGTGACGGTCAGTTGACCGCTAGGGGCGCTCCTAGTGTTAAAGACAGGCAGAGACTGAGCCTGTCAGATCTCAATGTGACTGATTTCAAAGACGTGGACCTGCGACAGAAAAGGCTCGGTCACCACGAAGCTTACGCTGTGTCTTAGGGACCTCCAGCATCAGCTGATCTGCCTCAGGGCACGAGAGGGAACATAGGGCAGAACAAGATCACAGAGGTAGGAGGGGCCAGGCCATTTAAACATTTAAAAGTAAATAAAAGAATTTTAAAATCAATTCTAAAACCCACCGGAAGCCAGAGCAGAGATTTTAAAACCGGTGTCACATGCTCCCATCTACGAGTTCCAGTTAAAAGTCAAGCTGCAGAATTCTGGACGAGCTGCAGCCGAGAAAGTGCCTGTTGGCTCAGCCCACAGTAAAGTGCACAGGTCAGCAGAGGGAGTGAGGCCGCTACTCGGGCTAAAAACAATTACCTCAGTTTTCTCCTGATTGAGGTTCAGAAAGTTAAAAGACATCTATGATTGTAGAATAAACAATACCAACCCCCAAATGGATGCCCCAACTCAAAATTCAGATTTTAATATTAAAAAAAATCTTAAAATTAAGTGGAAAACATAATTTCTAAAGCAAGAGATGAGTTTGGATATGATACCAATATTGTGAAGCATTATCAATCTTTTTCTTCCTCAGAACGACCATGGCAGATGATAGAGTCATGTGTGTGTCCCCAGAACGACCATGGCAGAGTCATGTGTGTGTCCTCAGAACGACCATGGCAGATGAGAGTCATGTGTGTGTCCTCAGAACGACCATGGCAGATGATAGAGTCATGTGTGTGTCCTCAGAACGACCATGGCAGATGAGAGTCATGTGTGTGTCCTCAGAACGACCATGGCAGATGAGAGTCATGTGTGTGTCCTCAGAACGACCATGGCAGATGATAGAGTCATGTGTGTGTCCTCAGAACGACCATGGCAGATGATAGATTCATGTGAGTGTCCTCAGAACGACCATGGCAGATGATAGATTCATGTGTGTGTCCTCAGAACGACCATGGCAGATGATAGATTCATGTGTGTGTCCTCAGAACGACCATGGCAGATGAGAGTCATGTGTGTGTCCTCAGAACGACCATGGCAGATGATAGAGTCATGTGTGTGTCCTCAGAACGACCATGGCAGATGATAGATTCATGTGTGTGTCCTCAGAACGACCATGGCAGATGATAGAGTCATGTGTGTGTCCTCAGAACGACCATGGCAGATGAGAGTCATGTGTGTGTCCTCAGAACGACCATGGCAGATGAGAGTCATGTGTGTGTCCTCAGAACGACCATGGCAGATGAGAGTCATGTGTGTGTCCTCAGAACGACCATGGCAGATGATAGATTCATGTGTGTGTCCTCAGAACGACCAAGGCAGATGATAGAGTCATGTGTGTGTCCTCAGAACGACCATGGCAGATGATAGAGTCATGTGTGTGTCCTCAGAACGACCATGGCAGATGAGAGTCATGTGTGTGTCCTCAGAACGACCATGGCAGATGAGAGTCATGTGTGTGTCCTCAGAACGACCATGGCAGATGATAGAGTCATGTGTGTGTCCTCAGAACGACCATGGCAGATGAGAGTCATGTGTGTGTCCTCAGAACGACCATGGCAGATGAGAGTCATGTGTGTGTCCTCAGAACGACCATGGCAGATGATAGAGTCATGTGTGTGTCCTCAGAACGACCATGGCAGATGATAGATTCATGTGTGTGTCCTCAGAACGACCACGGCAGATGATAGAGTCATGTGTGTGTCCTCAGAACGACCATGGCAGATGAGAGTCATGTGTGTGTCCTCAGAACGACCATGGCAGATGATAGAGTCATGTGTGTGTCCTCAGAACGACCATGGCAGATGATAGATTCATGTGTGTGTCCTCAGAACGACCATGGCAGATGATAGAGTCATGTGTGTGTCCTCAGAACGACCATGGCAGATGAGAGTCATGTGTGTGTCCTCAGAACGACCATGGCAGATGAGTCATGTGTGTGTCCTCAGAACGACCATGGCAGATGATAGATTCATGTGTGTGTCCTCAGAACGACCATGGCAGATGAGAGTCATGTGTGTGTCCTCAGAACGACCATGGCAGATAGAGTCATGTGTGTGTCCTCAGAACGACCATGGCAGATGAGAGTCATGTGTGTGTCCTCAGAACGACCATGGCAGATGATAGAGTCATGTGTGTGTCCTCAGAACGACCATGGCAGATGATAGATTCATGTGTGTGTCCTCAGAACGACCATGGCAGATGATAGAGTCATGTGTGTGTCCTCAGAACGACCATGGCAGATGATAGAGTCATGTGTTTGTCCTCAGAACGACCATGGCAGATGATAGATTCATGTGTTTGTCCTCAGAACGACCATGGCAGATGATAGATTCATGTGTTTGTCCTCAGAACGACCATGGCAGATGAGAGTCATGTGTTTGTCCTCAGAACGACCATGGCAGATGATAGATTCATGTGTGTGTCCTCAGAACGACCATGGCAGATGATAGATTCATGTGTGTCCTAGAGTTTCGTTCGGGCCTGAAAAATCAAGCCCGACCCCGCTAATACTAAGCCCAAGCCCGTATAAGCCCGACCAATGAACGCTGTATAACAGGCCCGAGCGCGACACATCTGATTTCTCTTGTTGTACGCACTCACCTTCCAATTGCAAGTTTAGACACTTCTGAATGTGTTTTGTACGTTCACCTGATCCATTTCTGTTAATGTTCCGTGTGTTCGCTGTTGACCGTAGCATTCAACAGGAAAGTCATAACGACCATGGCGGATGATAGTCATGTGCAGGGCTGGACTGGCCATCGGGCGTACCGGGCAATGCCCAAAGGGCCGATGCCCATATTTGGGCCGGTCTGTCTGCCTCATACAAAAAACATGTTTGTGAAAAGTGTAAATCCGTTGAGAAAGGTTCGAGGGGGCGCGCGTGTCCGCGGGGAACCTGCTGTATGTACTCGAACGGGATTCCACCACCTCAGCGGCCGCAGTGTTCCTGCATCCAGCGGCTCTGAGCCGGACGCAGGAGCCGCTCACTGGGAACCGCTCACAACACAACACGGTGAGCGCGTAGCCGCAACGTGACCATGTACCCAAGACCATAAACGTGCACAGGACCATGCATGTCTTTTCGTAATTTGTGCACCCAATAAATACACCGCTGCAGAAAACTGTCCGCCTCTCCCCTCTCCTCTCAAAGTGCGACTAAATTAAAGCTCGGGTACCTAAATTTTCCATTGCATTAAAAATTCATGTTTGAGCCCAAAAGTAAAATGTTGTGAACAGATTAAACAGATTTAGAGCCAGCAAATGGCTGACAATATGCATTTCAGAAATGTTTACCAATTCTCATCCCTGTAACAAACAATAGTATTGTCTGTGTCCACCTCCCTCACTCTGAGACATGTTTATTACTCTGTTTAATGTAGACTATTGTACTTTATTTTATTGTTGAAACTGCAGACATCCTGATCCGCTACAGTATTTGCCTCCACATACTGTATAAACCAGGGGTCGGCAACCTTTAGTGCCCCTAAAGTGGCTCCTGGAGCCTTTTCAAAAATGTCTGAAAATGGAGTGTGAGGGCTATATTTTATTTCTAGTTTTAATGTGGTTTCTGTAGGAGGAAAAACATTCTTAACGTTTTTCAATGCTGCAAAAACTTGTATGGGTAATATTCAATTTTAACTGTGTGTGTGCATGGATCCCAAAGATAAAGAGAGAGAGTCGATAAGACTGGACTAAGAATGAGAATGAACATTTGCTTTCAGTCACTGAGGAAGGACTGCTTCATGTTTGTAATGAAAAGTTTTGTTGCAACAGGAGGAACAATGAAGCTTTAAACACTGTTCACTGAAAGATTCATTCATCATAAAGTCAGAGCACCTATTTTCAGACTTCAAATACCTTCGCAAAGACGGTGAAAGAAAAGGCCGTTAAGGACATTCAGCTCCAGCAAACTTCAGCCTGTGATGGATATGAACAGACAGTGATGCAGGTGAACTCGGAGCCAAAAAGCAGATTTATTTACTGTATTTGTACAATTGCAAGAAGGTTAAAGTTAAAGCAGAGTCGTCACATGGTGCGTCATTCTCTCCAGGACACGCTGCAATGAAAATACACATCTGATAATCATGAATGGTTTTTATGTGTTTGTAGCCTTTACTTTGTCGTTTAGATATTAGGCTAATATAGCTAATATAGCTAATGTAGCTAAGGTAGCTAATGTAGCTAATACAGCTTCAGCCCCTGTTACCTTCATATAAGCCTTATACAACGCTGTTTTGTTTTTTTTGCGGCTCCAGACAGATGTTGTTTTTAGTTTTTTTGTCAAATATGGCTCCTTGAACCTTTTGAGTTGCCTGGGCCGCTAAGAAGGAAAAAATGCCCGGGCCGTTTTTTTGTCCCAGTCCAGCCCTGGTCATGTGTGCGTTCGCATAACGACTATGGCGGATGATGGAGTCATGTATGTCCTCAGAACGACCATGGCAGATGATAGTCATATGTGTGTCCTCATAACGACCATGGCGGATGATGGAGTCATGTGTTCGTCCTCATAACGACCATGGCGGATGATAGATACAGACACAGACAGCACCCAGGTCCTCAGGCACGGCAACCAGGTCCTCAAGCACGGCACCTCGGTCCTCAGGCACGGCACCTCGGTCCTCAGGCACGGCACCTCGGTCCTCAGGCACGGCACCTCGGTCCTCAGGCACGGCACCTCGGTCCTCAGGCACGGCACCTCGGTCCTCCTAGACAGACTACAGTAGATAAGGAGACAGACCGAGACTGACGGAGACTGAAGGAAACGGACCGAGACTTACCGAGACTGACCGAGGCTGACCGAGACTGACCGAGGCTGGCCGAGGCTGACCTAGACTGACCGAGACTGGCCGAGACTGGCCAAGGCTCTGGCGTCTGACCAGAGAACAGCGGTGGAACATGATACGATCATCTGCCATGGTCGTATCATGTTCCACCGCTGTTCTCTGGTCAGACGCCAGAGCCTTGGCCAGTCTCGGTAAGTCTCGGTCCGTGTCCGTGCCATGCCTGAGGACCTGGTTGCTGTCTGTGTCTGTATCTATCATCCGCCATGGTCGTTATGAGGACAAACACATGACTATCATCTGCCATGGTCCTCTCTCTCCTGGTCCTTCTCTTTCCTGGTCCTTCTCTCTCCTGGTCCTCTCTCTCCTGGTCCTCTCTCTCCTGGTATCTCTCCTGGTCCTTAACAAAAGTTCTAGAATCAAACAAAAACAAATATTTCTTCACAGCAACAAATGTTTCACTGCATCATCATGACTCAGACGAACGACGTTCTGTTCATGGTTCTGTTTCTGGCTCTTGTTCGTACCAAAGCTGAACGTGTGAAGAACATGTAGTTTCAGTTTCAGTCTCTGCTTCAGTCTCTGCCTCAGTCTCTGCTTCAGTCTCTGCTTCAGTCTCTGCTTCAGTCGCTGCTTCAGTCTCTGCCTCAGTCTCTGCCTCTGCCCCAGTCTCTGCCCCAGTCTCTGCCTCAGTCTCTGCCTCAGTCTCTGCCTCAGTCTCTGCCTCAGTCTCTGCCTCAGTCTCTGCCTCAGTCTCTGCCTCAGTCTCTGCCTCAGTCTCTGCCTCAGTCTCTGCCCCAGTCTCTGCCCCAGTCTCTGCCCCAGTCTCTACCTCCGTCTCTGCTTCAGTCTCTGCCTCAGTCTCTACCTCCGTCTCTGCCCCAGTCTCTGCCTCAGTCTCTGCCTCAGTCTCTACCTCCGTCTCTGCCTCAGTCTCTGCCTCAGTCTCTACCTCCGTCTCTGCCTCAGTCTCTGCCTCAGTCTCTGCCTCAGTCTCTGCCTCAGTCTCTGCCCCAGTCTCTGCCTCAGTCTCTACCTCCGTCTCTGCCTCAGTCTCTACCTCCGTCTCTGCCCCAGTCTCTGCCTCAGTCTCTGCCTCAGTCTCTGCCTCAGTCTCTGCCCCAGTCTCTACCTCCGTCTCTGCCTCAGTCTCTACCTCCGTCTCTGCTTCAGTCTCTGCCTCAGTCTCTACCTCCGTCTCTGCCCCAGTCTCTGCCTCAGTCTCTACCTCCGTCTCTGCCTCAGTCTCTACCTCCGTCTCTGCCTCAGTCTCTGCCTCAGTCTCTGCCTCAGTCTCTGCCTCAGTCTCTGCCCCAGTCTCTGCCCCAGTCTCTGCCCCAGTCTCTGCACCAGTCTCTGCCTCAGTCTCTGCCTCAGTCTCTGCCTCAGTCTCTGCCTCAGTCTCTACCTCCGTCTCTGCTTCAGTCTCTGCCTCAGTCTCTGCCCCAGTCTCTGCCCCAGTCTCTGCCCCAGTCTCTGCCCCAGTCTCTGCCCCAGTCTCTGCACCAGTCTCTGCCCCAGTCTCTGCCTCAGTCTCTGCCTCCGTCTCTGCCTCAGTCTCTGCTTCAGTCTCTGCTTCAGTCTCTGCCTCAGTCTCTGCCTCAGTCTCTACCTCCGTCTCTGCTTCAGTCTCTGCCTCAGTCTCTGCCCCAGTCTCTGCCCCAGTCTCTGCCCCAGTCTCTGCCCCAGTCTCTGCCCCAGTCTCTGCACCAGTCTCTGCCCCAGTCTCTGCCTCAGTCTCTGCCTCAGTCTCTGCCTCAGTCTCTGCCTCAGTCTCTGCCTCAGTCTCTGCCTCAGTCTCAGTCTCTGCCTCAGTCTCTGCCTCAGTCTCTGCCTCAGTCTCTGCCTCAGTCTCTGCCTCAGTCTTTGCCTCAGTCTCTGCCTCAGTCTCTGTGTTCCTTGTATCTGTATATCTTCACACAGTGGTGCATACTGTCAGAAACCCCCAGATGCCCTCCCGGGAGCACAGTCAGTCCTCTGGGACTGCTGAGACCGTGTGCGATGATGACGGTCCCCACACCTCTGCTTGGGAACAACAGGATCCTATGGCCGTGTTCCGACCAATCAGTGACGAGCACGTCCCCGTCTGTGTCGATACAGAGGCCCCAGGGCGCGGTCAGGACGGGGCCCATCCCGGCACAGACCCCCAGGACCCGGATTGTGTTCCAGTCCGGGGCCAGGACCTTCACACACGGCACGCGGCCCGTCTCGCTGCCGCGCTCCGAGACCGCCATCAGACCCGTGATGGGACACGCCGACACCAGGTAGGGGCGGTGGAACCCGGTGACCACGGTGCGCTCCAAGCGGACCGCTGTTTTAGGGTCGAGTTTCAGCGCGATGAGAGTCCCTTTGCGGATGTCGGCTACGAGGAACTCATCTGCTCTGGTCACGGTGACGCCGCGAGGGGCCTCCAGCTCGTCTTTGTGCTGCTGATGGTACTGCTGCTGATGGTACTGGTGCTGCTGGTGCTGGTGGCCGCCGTAGGTCTGGAGCAGGCGGCCGTGGCGGCTGAAGACCAGCAGAGCACGTTCAGAGGCGCAGCTCAGAGCGACGAGGCCCCGGGAGTTCACAGCGACATCAAAGTAGTTGCGACATTTGCGCGAAGAAGAAGAAGAGGAAGAGGAAGAGCCAATCTGCTGCAGGACGTTCCCACGGCAGTCCGTCACCTACAGAACATATTATTAAAGATGATATACTCTAAAGCCTCCTGATGACTCTAAAGCCTCCTGATGACTCTAAAGCCCCCTGATGACTCTAAAGCCTCCTGATGACTCTAAAGCCTCCTGATGAATCTAAAGCCTCCTGATGACTCTAAAGCCCCCTGATGACTCTAAAGCCTCCTGATGACTCTAAAGCCTCCTGATGACTCTAAAGCCTCCTGATGACTCTAAAGCCTCCTGATGACTCTAAAGCCTCCTGATGACTCCTGATGACCCCAAAGCCTTCCGATAACTCTAAAGCCTTCTGATGACTCTAAAGCCTCCTGATGACTCTAAAGCCTCCTGCTGACTCTAAAGCCTCCTGATGACTCTAAAGCCTCCTGATGACTCCAAAGCCTCCTGATGACTCTAAAGCCCCCTAGTGACTCCTGATGACTCTAAAGCCTCCTGATGACTCTAAAGCCTCTTGATGACCCCTGATGACTCCTGATGACTCTAAAGCCTCCTAGTGACTCCTGATGACTCTAAAGCCTCCTGATGACTACTGATGACTCTAAAGCCTCCTAGTGACTCCTGATGACTCGAAAGCTTCCTGATGACCCCTGATGACTCTAAAGCCTCCTGATGACTCAAAAGCTTCCTGATGACTCTAAAGCCTCCTGGTGCATCCTGATAACTCTAAAGCCTCCTGATGACTCTAAAGCCTCCTGATGACTCGTGATGACTCTAAAGCCTCCTGATGACCCCTGATGACTCTAAAGCCTCCTGATGACTCGAAAGCTTCCTGATGACCCCTGATGACTCTAAAGCCTCCTAATGACTCAAACTTCCTGATGACTCCTGATGACTCTAAAGCCTCCTGATGACCCCTGATGACTCTAAAGCCTCATCATGACTCTAAAGCCTCCTGATTCTGGCATGCGCTTCCTGTACTGGCGACCCCGCTCCCATCTCTATGTGGAGTGAGAGACAAATGCCCAAAATTAACAATTGTAAACCGCTTTGAGACTCAGATCTGCAGTGAAAAGGCGGTATATAAATTAAAAACTTACTACTTACTTACTAAGCGTCCTGATGACTCTAAAGCCTCCGGATGACTCAAAAGCTTCCTGATGACTCTAAAGCCTCCTGATGACTCTAAAGCGTCCTGATGACTCTAAAGCGTCCTGATGACTCTAAAGCCCCCTGATGACTCTAAAGCCTCCTGATGACTCTAAAGCCCCCTGATGACTCTAAAGCCTCCTGATGACTCTAAAGCCTCCTGATGACTCTAAAGCCTCCTGATGACTCTAAAGCCTCCTGATGACTCTAAAGCCTCCCTCCTGATGACTCTAAAGCCTCCTGATGACTCTAAAGCCTCCTGATGACTCTAAAGCCTCCTGATGACTCCTGATGACTCTAAAGCCTCCTGATGACTCTAAAGCCTCCTGATGACTCCTGATGACTCTAAAGCCTCCTAGTGACTCCTGATGACTCTAAAGCCTCCTGATGACTACTGATGACTCTAAAGCCTCCTAGTGACTCCTGATGACTCTAAAGCCTCCTGATGACTCGAAAGCTTCCTGATGACCCCTGATGACTCTAAAGCCTCCTGATGACTCAAGCTTCCTGATGACTCCTGATGACTCTAAAGCCTCCTGATGACTCTAAAGCCTCCTGATGACCCCTGATGACTCTAAAGCCTCCTGATGACTCGAAAGCTTCCTGATGACCCCTGATGACTCTAAAGCCTCCTGATGACTCAAACTTCCTGATGACTCCTGATGACTCTAAAGCCTCCTGATGACTCTAAAGCCTCCTGATGACCCCTGATGACTCTAAAGCCTTATGATGACTCTAAAGCCTCCTGATGACCCCTGATGACTCTAAAGCCTGCTGATGACTAAAAAGCTTCCTGATGACTCTAAAGCCTCCTGATGACTCTAAAGCGTCCTGATGACTCTAAAGCGTCCTGATGACTCTAAAGCGTCCTGATGACTCTAAAGCCTCCTGATGCAACCTGATGACTCTAAAGCCTCCTGATGCATCCTGATGACTCTAAAGCCTCCTGATGACTCTAAAGCCTCCTGATGACCCCTGATGACTCTAAAGCCTTATGATGACTCTAAAGCCTCCTGATGACCCCTGATGACTCTAAAGCCTGCTGATGACTAAAAAGCTTCCTGATGACTCTAAAGCCTCCTGATGACTCTAAAGCGTCCTGATGACTCTAAAGCGTCCTGATGAACTCTAAAGCGTCCTGATGACTCTAAAGCCTCCTGATGCAACCTGATGACTCTAAAGCCTCCTGATGCATCCTGATAACTCTAAAGCCTCCTGATGACTCTAAAGCCTTCTGATGACTCCTGATGACTCTAAAGCCTCCTGATGAATCTAAAGCCTCCTGATGACTCTTAAGCCTCCTAGTGACTCCTGATGACTCTAAAGCCTCCTGATGACTCCAAAGCCTTCATATAACTCTAAAGCCTCCTGATGACTCTAAAGCCTCTTGATGACCCCTGATGACTCTAAAGCCTCCTGATGACCCGAAAGCTTCCTGATGACTCTAAAGCCTCCTGATGACTCTAAAGCGTCCTGATGACTCTTAAAGCGGTGACTCTGGGCGGCACGGTGGCTCTCTGGGCGGCATGGTGGCTGAGTGGATAGTACTCTCGCCTCTCAGCAAGAAGGTCCTGGGTTCGAATCCCGGTCGGACCAGGGCCTTTCTGAGTGGAGTTTGCATGTTCTCCCCGTGTCTGCGTAGGTTTCCTCCGGGTGCTCCGGTTTCCCCTACCACTAAAAATATATCCAATAGTTCTGGCATGCGCTTCCTGTACTGGCGACCCCGCTCCCATCTCTGTGTGGAGTGAGAGACAAATGCCCAAAATTAACAATTGTAAACCGCTTTGAGACTCAGATCTGCAGTGAAAAGGCGGCATATAAATAAAAACGTACTACTTACTTACTAAGCGTCCTGATGACTCTAAAGCCCCCTGATGACTCTAAAGCCTGCTGATGACTCTAAAGCCTCCTGATGACTCTAAAGCCCCCTGATGACTCTAAAGCCTCCTGATGACTCTAAAGCCTCCTGATGACTCTAAAGCCTCCTGATGAATCTAAAGCCTCCTGATGACTCTAAAGCCTCCTGATGACTCTAAAGCCTCCTAGTGACTCCTGATGACTAAAGCCTACTGATGACTCCTGATGACTCCAAAGCCTTCCGATAACTCTAAAGCCTTCTGATGACTCTAAAGCCTCCTGATGACTCTAAAGCCTCCTGATGACTCCTGATGACTCTAAAGCCTCTTGATGACCCCTGATGACTCTAAAGCCTCCTGATGACTCCAAAGCCACCTGATGACTCTAAAGCCCCCTAGTGACTCCTGATGACTCAAAGCCTCCTGATGACTCTAAAGCCTCTTGATGACCCCTGATGACTCTAAAGCCTCCTGATGACTCCTGATGACTCTAAAGCCTCCTGATGACTCTAAAGCCTCTTGATGACCCCTGATGACTCTAAAGCCTCCTGATGACTCCTGATGACTCTAAAGCCTCCTGATGACTCTAAAGCCTCCTGATGACTCTAAAGCCTCTTGATGACCCCTGATTACTCTAAAGCCTCCTGATGACTCTAAAGCCTCTTGATGACCCCTGATGACTCTAAAGCCTTCTGATGACTCTAAAGCCTCCTGATGACTCTAAAGCCTCTTGATGACCCCTGATGACTCTAAAGCCTCCTGATGACTCTAAAGCCTCCTGATGACTCTAAAGCCTCTTGATGACCCCTGATGACTCTAAAGCCTCCTGATGACTCTAAAGCCTTCTGATGACTCTAAAGCCTCCTGATGACTCTAAAGCCTCCTGATGACCCCTGATGACTCTAAAGCCTCCTGATGACTCTAAAGCCTCCTGATGACTCTAAAGCCCCCTAGTGACTCCTGATGACTCTAAAGCCTCCTGATGACTCCTGATGACTCCAAAGCCTTCATATAACTAAAGCCTCCTGATGACTCAAAGCCTCCTGATGACTCTAAAGCCTCTTGATGACCCCTGATGACTCTAAAGCCTCCTGATGACTCCTGATGACTCTAAAGCCTCCTTATGACTCTAAAGCCTCTTGATGACCCCTGATGACTCTAAAGCCTCCTGATGACTCCTGATGACTCTAAAGCCTCCTGATGACTCTAAAGCGTCCTGATGCATCCTGATAACTAAAGCCTCCTGATGACTCTAAAGCCTCCTAGTGACTCCAAAGCCTCCTGATGACTCTAAAGCCCCCTAGTGACTCCTGATGACTCTAAAGCCTCTTGATGACCCCTGATGACTCTAAAGCCTCCTGATGACTCCTGATGACTCTAAAGCCTCCTGATGACTCTAAAGCCTCTTGATGACCCCTGATGACTCTAAAGCCTCCTGATGATTCTAAAGCCTCTTGATGACCCCTGATGACTCTAAAGCCTCCTGATGCCTCCTGATGACTCCAAAGCCTCCTGATGACTCTAAAGCCCCCTAGTGACTCCTGATGACTCAAAGCCTCCTGATGACTCTAAAGCCTCTTGATGACCCCTGATGACTCTAAAGCCTCCTGATGACTCCTGATGACTCTAAAGCCTCCTGATGACTATAAAGCCTCCTGATGACTCTAAAGCCCCCTAGTGACTCCTGATGACTCTAAAGTCTCTTGATGACCCCTGATGACTCTAAAGCCTCCTGATGACTCTAAAGCCTCCTGATGACTCTAAAGCCTCTTGATGACCCCTGATGACTCTAAAGCCTCCTGATGACTCTAAAGCCTCTTGATGACCCCTGATGACTCTAAAGCCTCCTGATGACTCTAAAGCCTCCTGATGACTCTAAAGCCTCCTGATGACTCTAAAGCCTCCTGATGACTCCAAAGCCTCCTGATGACTCTAAAGCCCCCTAGTGACTCCTGATGACTCCAAAGCCTCCTGATGACTCTAAAGCCTTTTGATGACCCCTGATGACTCTAAAGCCTCCTGATGACTCCTGATGGCTCTAAAGCCTCCTGATGACTCAAAAGCTTCCTGATGACTCAAAAGCCTCCTGATGACTCTAAAGCGTCCTGATGATTCTAAAGCCTCCTGATGCATCCTGATAACTCTAAAGCCTCCTGATGACTCTTAAGCCTCCTGATGACCCCTGATGACTCTAAAGCCTCCTGATGACCCCTGATGACTCTAACGTCTCCTGATGACTCCTGATGACTCTAAAGCCTCCTGATGACTCCAAAGCCTTCATATAACTCTAAAGCCTCCTGATGACTCTAAAGCCTCCTAGTGACTCCTGATGACTCTAAAGCCTCCTGATGACTCCAAAGCCTTCATATAACTAAAGCCTCCTGATGACTCTAATGCCTCTTGATGACCCCTGATGACTCTAAAGCCTCCTGATGACTCGAAAGCCTCTTGAACAGAAACTCAGAGGAGATCGAGCTTTTTTGGTTGTTGGTCCTAAACTATGGAATGAGCTGCCCCTGTGTGTGAGACTGTCTGAGTCACTTCCTGTTTTTAAGTCTCGTCTTAAGACACACTTGTTCTCATTGGCTTTTAATTGATTTCAATTGATTTTTTGCTGTAAATAGTGTTTTTTTTTTTGCCACTGTTTTGTATTTCTGAAATGTATATTTGTGTATATCTTTTTATGTACAGCACTTTGGTCAACCATGTTGTTTTTATTAGTGCTTTATAAATAAACTGGATTGGATTGGATTGATGACCCCTGATGACTCTAAAGCCTCCTGATGACTCGAAAGCTTCCTGATGACCCCTGATGACTCTAAAGCCTCCTGATGACTCCTGATGACTCTAAAGCCTCCTGATGACTCTGAAGCCTCCTGATGACTCCTGATGACTCTAAAGCCTCCTGATGACTCTAAAGCTTCCTGATGACTCCTGATGACTCTAAAGCCTCCTGATGACTCTAAAGCCTCCTGATGACTCTAAAGCCTCCTGATGACTCTGAAGCCTCCTGATGACTCTAAAGCCTCCTGATGACTCTAAAGCCTCCTGATGACTAAAGCCTCTTGATGACTCTAAAGCCTCCTGATGACTCTAAAGCCTCCTGATGCCTCCTGATGACTCTAAAGCCCCCTGATGACTCCTGATGACTCTGAAGCCTCCTGATGACTCCTGATGACTCCTGATGACTCTAAAGCCTCCTGATGACTCTAAAGCAGGGGTCACCAACCTTTTTGAAACCAAGAGCTACTTCTTGGGTACTGATTAATGCGAAGGGCTACCAGTTTGTTACACACTTAAATAAATTGCCAGATATGGCCAATTTGCTCAATTTACCTTTAATTCTATGTTTTTACTAATAATTAATGATATTTATTTTGTGCAAAAACTTTTATATTTTCTTTAAGTGCACATTTTTCAAATTTAACAAATGATCACTTCTAAGACAGTCCCATTTAATCGCAATTAATCACATGTTAATCGCATATAAATATTTGACCTGAGAACAGTGAGAAGTAATTTTTTTCACATGGATTTTTAGTTTACCTTTGAATAATGACTGAATACATGAGGCTTAAGCAACACATGTTAATATGGAGTTTAAGGGATAACTTCTAAACATCAACTAACGTTTCTGTCATTGCCTCCACCTCCTCCTCCTCCTCCTCCTCACACTGACGACATATGCTCCTCCTCCTCCTCCTCCTCCTCCTCCTCCTCCTCACACTGATGACAACATATGCTCCTCCTCCTCCTCCTCCTCACACTGACGACAACATATGCTCCTCCTCCTCCTCCTCCTCCTCCTCCTCCTCCTCCTCCTCCTCACACTGACGACAACATATGCTCCTCCTCCTCCTCCTCACTCTGACGACAACATATGCTCCTCCTCCTCCTCCTCCTCACACTGACGACAACATATGCTCCTCCTCCTCCTCCTCCTCACACTGACGACAACATATGCTCCTCCTCCTCCTCCTCCACACTCTGACGACAACATATGCTCCTCCTCCTCCTCCTCCTCACTCTGACGACAACATATGCTCCTCCTCCTCCTCCTCCTCACACTGACGACAACATATGCTCCTCCTCCTCCTCCTCCTCTTCCTCACTCTGACGACAACATATGCTCCTCCTCCTCCTCCTCCTCACTCTGACGACAACATATGCTCCTCCTCCTCCTCCTCCTCACACTGACGACAACATATGCTCCTCCTCCTCACACTGACGAGAGATATGACCAGAGAGAGAGACCAGACAACATATGCTCCTCCTCCTCCTCTCCTCCTCCTAAAGACCAGAGAGAGAACCAGAGAGAGACCAGAGAGAGACCAGAGAGAGACCAGAGAGAGAGACTAGAGAGAGACCAGAGAGAGACCAGAGAGAGACCAGAGAGACCAGAGAGAGAGACCAGAGAGAGACCAGAGAGAGACCAGAGAGAGACCAGAGAGAGATCAGAGAGAGACCAGAGAGAGACCAGAGAGACCAGAGAGAGACCAGAGAGAGACCAGAGAGACCAGAGAGAGACCAGAGAGAGAGACCAGAGAGAGACCAGAGAGAGACCAGAGAGAGAGACCAGAGAGAGACCAGAGAGAGACCAGAGAGAGACCAGAGAGAGACCAGAGAGAGACCAGAGAGACCAGAGAGAGACCAGAGAGAGACCAGAGAGAGACCAGAGAGACCAGAAAGAGACCAGAGAGAGACCAGAGAGACCAGAGAGAGACCAGAGAGAGAGACCAGAGAGAGACCAGAGAGAGACCAGAGAGAGACCAGAGAGAGACCAGAGAGAGACCAGAGAGAGACCAGAGAGAGAGACCAGAGAGAGACCAGAGAGAGACCAGAGAGACCAGAGAGAGACCAGAGAGAGACCAGAGAGAGACCAGAGAGACCAGAGAGAGACCAGAGAGACCAGAGAGAGACCAGAGAGGGACCAGAGAGAGACCAGAGAGACCAGAGAGAGACCAGAGAGAGACCAGAGAGACCAGAGAGAGACCAGAGAGAGACCAGAGAGACCAGAGAGAGACCAGAGAGACCAGAGAGAGACCAGAGAGGGACCAGAGAGGTACAGATACCAATCAAACCCATGTTATTCTAGTGCTATCGCTAAACGTTGCCGTAGAAACAGGAGTTTGTGGAGAATCAAAGGTACGAGATTAGAGTCTGAAATTAGAGTCTGAGATTAGAGCTGTGTAAACAGTGGCACCCGCAGACACAGAGAGGGCGAGGGTTCAGCGCCCCTGTGCCTCTGAGCAGGATGTCACACCAGCAACAACACACCACAAGACCAGACACGCCTCCGCTACCATCACACTACCATGTGTGTCAGAGGAAGGAGAGAGAACAGAGGGGGAGAGGAGAGAGAGAGGGGAGGGAGGGGAGAGAGGAGAGAGATAGAGGGAGGAGAGAGAGAGGGAGAGAGAGAGAGAGAGAGGGGAGGGAGGGGAGAGAGGGAGAGAGATAGAGGGAGGAGAGAGAGAGGGAGAGAGAGAGAGAGAGGGGAGGGAGGGGAGAGAGGGGAGAGATAGAGGGAGGAGAGAGAGAGGGAGAGAGAGAGAGAGGGGGGAGGGAGGGGAGAGAGGGGAGAGATAGAGGGAGGAGAGAGAGAGGGGAGGGAGGGGAGAGAGGGGAGAGATAGAGGGAGGAGAGAGAGGAGAGAGATAGAGGGAGGGAGAGAGAGAGGGGAGGGAGGGGAGAGATAGGGGAGGGAGGAGAGAGAGGAGAGAGATAGAGGGAGGAGAGAGAGAGGGAGAGAGGGGAGCGAGGGGAGAGAGGGGGAGAGAGATAGAGGGAGGAGAGAGAGAGGGAGAGAGAGAGAGAGAGGGGAGGGAGGGGAGAGAGGGGAGAGATAGAGGGAGGAGAGAGAGAGGGAGAGAGAGAGAGAGAGGGGAGGGAGGGGAGAGAGGGGAGAGATAGAGGGAGGAGAGAGAGAGGGAGAGAGAGAGAGAGAGAGAGGGGAGGGAGGGGAGAGAGGGGAGAGAGAGGAGAGGGAGGGGAGAGAGGGAGAGAGATAGAGGGAGGAGAGAGAGGAGAGAGATAGAGGGAGGAGAGAGAGAGGGGAGGGAGGGGAGAGATAGAGGGAGGAGAGAGAGGAGAGAGAGAGGGAGAGAGGAGAGAGGGGAGCGAGGGGAGAGAGGGGAGAGATAGAGGGAGGAGAGAGAGGAGAGAGAGAGGAGAGTGAGGGGAGGGAGGAGAGAGAGAGGAGAGAGATAGAGGAAGGAGCGAGAG